CTTCACGTCAATTTGTCGGGGCGACAGGTGCCTTGCTGCAGCGGTGGCAAGCAGGATGCGAACGGAGGTATGGCGGTTGACAGGGGCAAAATTCTGATCCAAATTGATGCCGTGGCATTGGTCGTACCTTCACACGACCCAGTGCGCCTCGAAGCACTAGATATTGCCGTCACGCGGTTTTCACGCGGAACACCCATTTGTCCGAAAGCACGCGCCTTCCTTTGATTGCTCATCAATCGACTAGCACCCAGGTGTCGCGCGATTCAAGCGCCCTTATCTCTGCATCCATCGCCGCGCGCCACTCCTTGCTGTCAGGTCCCGTCAGGGCCTGTTGCAATTTTTTCGGCTCGATGATGCATGGGGCCGAAGAGGCTGCGGTGTGAAGCCCCAAGAGCTGCAGCCCGTATACCGTGGTGTCGTGGCGGTGTTAGGGAACGACCTATTTTATGTCGTCATCGTCGCACTCTGGCTCAGGTGGGGCTAGTGGTGTAGGGTCCTTGCGACTGTCTCGTGAGGGTCCAGGGGGCGACCCGTCGTCGTCGTCGCGACGCGGGTCGATGTCAGGGTATTCCCTGAAGGTGTCCTGATTAAGAATCGTCGCGTCAGCTTCGTCCACGGGGTGGAGTGGTTTCGTCCGTTGTTCACGTACACCAGAACTATGCCTTCTTACGCTAGAACTGTGCCCGCTTACTGATCCGCGCGAAATTACGCGAATGTGAGCCATACGTAGAAAATCACGTCGCGCGCGTGTGTGATTTTGTTGCTCAGTGGGTCGAGGATGATCCATGCCTTGTACTCGTAGCTGATGCTGAAATGAATGACCATCGCATGAGGCTCGTGGAATTGCCGACAGTTGAGGTAGGGGCCCTATACTGCACCGCACAGCCCCACACACGGAGCATGGAGGTGTCACCCTTCTTGCCCATCCACCGTGCTCCGTGCACCACCGACAGCCGCTTCATCAGGTTGTAGCTGCTCGGGAGCCCCTTTAGCATGTGCGTGACGTACGACGCCGCCGAATACTGCACGCCGGCCATCCTCATTGTGGCGAGAAGTCGCCGAGCCCGGTTGCAGTAATCGGTCGCTGTCTCCTGCTCACCCATCCACAGGTGCGTCATCTGCTCCTCGCGCTGGACGATGTACAGGTCGTCGGTGACCTGGTAGGTCGACTCTTGCATCCAGGTCGCCTGGTGGCCAGCGTCCAGGTAGTCCCTACACGGCTTCAAGGCGATCTGCACGCCCGGTGAGCAGCACCGTGAGATGACCGTGAAGGTCAGCAGTTGCACAACGCGAAACTCCGCACGCAGGTCGGGGTAGATCTCCGACGACGTCGCCACGGTGCCGGCGGCGAAGCCCATTAGCCCGGCCATCTCCAGCTGGGGCTTGATGGCCTCCTTCCACGTGAGGATGTGGGGACGACTGACCAGCAAGGGGGTGACCGAGATCCTGTCTGGCGTAAACTTGAAGTAGCCGTAGCTCGGCGCAATTCCTCCCGCAGTCACGTGGGTCGCCGACATCGGCATCAAACCGCTTCGACGTCCTCTGATGTCGCCCTGCGAGGAGCCTTCAGCCGCCGACGACCGCATTCCTCGCGCCTGAACGTCGCCGACTTCATCGGCGTGTATCACACCTCGCTGCCTCGTCGTGTCTCCCGCACTGCTGCCGACCTGGTCACCGGCATTGACTCCCACGTCGACGCCGCCCTCGTTGTTCACCGAGCGAGGAGAAGCACGCCGAGAAGGGTGCTCTGTCGCCCACACGGCGCGGATGCCAGCCTCAACGACCGCCCAGAGGATTTCTCCGTACTCCTGAGCCTCGTGGCATCTCCTCGCATCCTCGAGCTGTGCCTCCAGGGTGTCCATCACCTCTGTGTCACCTACGCACACGATGGTGACTACACGGCTACCGGCCTACGAAGAACTTAGGTAAGCGGAAAAGTCGGCTAAACCGAAGGTATCATGCGGTGCCGTCCACGTTTACCGCACCATGCAGAGATAACTAATTCAATGGGAGCTAGACTACGGGCTAGGCACGGGGCTTGAGTGATCTCTGCGTTCCTGAGTCGTTTTCCTTGTGTTTACACTGCTTGCTAGTTTACGGGAAGAATTTGCAAGAGTTTCACTAGGAAAACATAACAACAATGATAGCAACAACATTGGCAACACAGACTACATCAGAGCTAGCTAGGCTGCTGGTCGACCTCCAGTGCAACATGATCGACTGCGATCCAGCGCAGCAGAGCTCGCACCGCTCCAGCATTGCAGAGTACCGGTTCGCCAACAATGCAAGTCCATGGTATGCCAACGCTGCAGCAAGTCGGCTGCACAGCGTTGCACCCGCAGGACAACGGTGCACTGGCTTCGGAGGTGCACGTGGCCGGTTGGTGCACCACGCCTCGTCACGTGCACAGCGCAGACGCCCAGGCCGAGTACACGCCAGCGACCGCGCCCACCAGCCACGTCGACCTCAGGATACCACTTCCGAGGTCGGCCTCACTGACACCACCCTGGCGACCCTCGCACACATCGCCCAGGTAACACGGTCGACCGGGCAACCATGCCTGGTCGACCAGCCCAATCGGTCGCCGCCTACACCAGACCGGCGTCCCCAGAATCGACGTCCAGACGTCCAGGTCGGCGTCCAGACTCCCAGGACGCCGTGCAGACGCCTAGGTCGGCGTCCACTCGCCCAGGTCGTCACGCCCATGACGGCGTCCTCCTGCTCGGCGCACGCCAGGTAGACGCCCTCCAGCTGCTGATCAGCTGCACTCCCCGTACACCCGAATACGGGGTCGGCTCCGCCCAAGCGAGGACGGGGCCAACCACAACTCCCGTTGACAGTCAGCTCCAGTACCTCCAGCTCTAGGACCTACAGCACCAGAACCTCCAGCAATAGACTCAGGAAGTGGCAGTGACGACTGATGCTCCTAGAAGAAGGGGCGCCGCTGCCGGGGCTGGAATGCACCTGCAGAACCTCCAGCAGACGCACCTTCGACTCCACCACCACTAGGACGCTCAGCACCCTCAGAACCAGCACGTCGAGAGTCAGCACCCCCAGAACCAGCACCCCTCGAGCCCGCACCTCCAGTGTCACCACCCCCAGCAGCACCAGAGTCCGCAGCGACAGGCTTCAGAGGTGGTGCGGACGGCCGAGGCGGAAAACCAGGAGGTGGTGAAGGAGTAGGCAGTGGGGAGTCGGGCTGTAACTGTGTCTTGGATGGGTCAGTCGGTGGACACAGTAGAGGAGGAGTAACACCAGTGGAAGACAGAAGACTGAGAACCTGGCGAAGTGCCGAGCCAGGTGGTGCCAGTGACGACTGTGGCTGGTCCATGAAGAACGGTCGCCGCTGCACAGCACCCCCAGCTCCAGTACCTCCCGCTGCAGTACCTTCACCAGCGCCAGCTCCAACACCTTGAGCTCCAGCACCTCCAGCGACAGTACCTCCAGCTCCAGAACCTCCAGCACCGCCAGCTGCAGTACCTCTAGCACCAGAACCTCCAGCTCCAGTACCTCCAACTCTAGAACCTCTAGCGCCGGAACCAGCACCTCCAGGCTCAGCACCGCGCCGGGATACCCACGCACGGAGCTGCTGCAGCGAGAGAGTAGCCTGCGGAAACTGCTGACGTTGTCCACCCCTAACTCCAGTACCTGTAGCGGGAGCACCTCCAGCACTGCCGGCTCCAGCACTTCCAGAACCAGCACCCCCAGAACCAGCACCCCCAGTTCCGGGAGGACAGGACGCGTCGCGTGGCAGGGTGGTAAAACTGCCAAAATGGGGCGGCGGTGGGAAAGCCAAGGAAGACACAGCGATTAGTGCGAGGAGAGAGCTTGCCCGCGGTAGTAACGCGGACAAGGGCAAGCGAACACCAGACCCGAAACGTCGACACATCGCCAACCTCCCCATTCCAACGCAGTGTAGGCGAGGTCTCTGGCTCGGAGGCATAGGGCCATAGGTTGAGCTGATGTGCGGCGTATCGGACCGCAAACGGCCACAGAAAATGGGGAGCAGCCGCATGGATCATGGAGGTGCGAGCAACCTCCATGATCAAGCCAATGCGGCGCTCAGCGATCCCATTCTGCTGTGGAAAAGCCGGAATCGTGAGCGACTAAGCAATGCCCTCCCCATGACAAAAGTCCTCAAGGAGACCGCAGGAGAACTCACCTCCACGGTCAGAGTGCAAACGGAGCATCGGGAGGTCCTGACGGAACCGTGCGCTCAGCTGGCGGCGAACATCGCGGATCCAAGAGAAACACCGCGGTGTAGCGCGTGTAGTCGTCGACGACCAGCAGGAAGTAGTGCTCCCGGTGTCCGCAACGGGGCAGATCGAGGTCGATCCACAGGAGAACACGTCTGTCCCTAGGGTTTATGCGCTAGGCAACGTGACCACCACTGGGTGGGAGCTCATGCCCGTCGCAATCGCCGTGGGGCGTCGCCTCGCCGACCGACTATTCAATAATAATCCGGAGGCTTGTCTACATTACCACCAAATCCCGGCCGTCGTGTTCAGTCACCCGCCGATCGGGACGATCGGGTACACGGAGCCAGCGACGATTGCCAAGTTTGGCGCCGCAAATGTCAAAGTGTACATGTCCAAGTTCGTGAATCTGCTCCATGCGATGGCGGCCTCGGAGCACAAGCGCAAAACTGCGATGAAACTCGTATACATGGGTGAGGAAGAGGTTGTCGTGGGGCTCAACGTCACGGGCGAAGGGGCGGACGAGATGGTGCATGGCTTTGGCATCGCGACCGAGATGAACGCGACCAAGGCCAGCTTTGACAACATCGTCTCGATCCACCCCACTGTGGCCGAGGAATTTGTGACCATGACGCCCTGGGGACTGCTCAAGGACAGAGTCAAGCTGTCACCGACGCCCAAGGACCCTTCTGTCTAATTCTATGGGGGGAACGAATATAAACAATAAGTAAATGGCATTGGATTGGATTTAGTACGGTAAAATCGTGTTTCAACCTGTCTTTTCACGCAGCACTGGCAGTGGCGCTACCCCCATAGGCTATCCGGCCGTTGTTCTGTGGCTCTGTCGAATGTATTTGAGGCAGGCTGTGGCACGTAGACGCGTGCGATTGGGACCACAGTTGGCCCTGCAACACTAGCGACGATGCGCTGGGTCCATGGGTCCATATCCAGCCTGCTCAGGTCCCCTGCCACGCAGATGCTCTGCGCCAACGCGCAAGGGAGACACGTGGTCTCAAGAGGAGAGGGGGCTTCTGGAATGCGCACATTCTCTAACACGGCTTCCTTGAATTTTTGTACGTTCACTTCAGCAGGGAGAGCGAGTGGACCATCTAGTAGACCCACGACACCTCGCGCCTGTGCCGTCTGAATCGCCTGAACAAAGCTTTCCACGTTCAGCCAAAGACGACTGGCGGATTCTCTTCCGCGTCAACCATGAGTTCCAGGATCGCGTCGTATTAATAGAGGTGTTCCTTGACCATTCATCCTTAACACATCTTCCAGTAGTGGAGTATCGTTCGTAGTACCCATCGTGTGCTTGCTTTGCCTTCTAGTGAGATGTGAAGAATGACGATAGGAACTGCGACAGGAGAGAAGAGATTGCTGACAGTTGAACCACTTGATGGGTTTGCGATCCTCGCCCCACCAGACAGAACGCGATATCGAGGTGGTTAATCCCGACGTTTATACAGTAAGTTCCCTCAGCCCCAGGACCATAACAATCAAATCAATATGCGACGTGTGACGGCTCCGACTACCGGTAATTTGCCGAATAATCTGCGACGTGTGAATGACGCTTTTAGTACATAAAAATACTATCTATTGCAATCTGCAGCAATTTTGGCACGTCGGACGTAGTACAACGCCAATGTCCTCGTTGAACTCTGTCGTCTCTCTCGCGCCATACGTGAACCCAGTGCATATTGTGCTTCGTCCTTCTTCTTCGATTGTCCTATAGTCGGTCTGCGTCTTCCACGTCGTCCGTCTCCCACTCTGTTCCTTCTTCTTCTTCTTCTTCTTCTTCTCCTTCTTCTTCTTCTTCTTCTTCTTCTTCTTCTTCTTCTTCTTCTTCTTCTTCTTCTTCTTCTTCTTCTTCTTCTTCTTCTTCTTCTTCTTCTTCTTCTTCTTCTTCTTCTTCTTCTTCTTCTTCTTCTTCTTCTTCTTCTTCTTCTTCTTCTTCTTCTTCTTCTTCTTCTTCTTCTTCTTCTTCTTCTTCTTCTTCTTCTTCTTCTTCTTCTTCTTCTTCTTCTTCTTCTTCTTCTTCTTCTTCTTCTTCTTCTTCTTCTTCTTCTTCTTCTTCTTCTTCTTCTTCTTCTTCTTCTTCTTCTTCTTCTTCTTCTTCTTCTTCTTCTTCTTCTTCTTCTTCTTCTTCTTCTTCTTCTTCTTCTTCTTCTTCTTCTTCTTCTTCTTCTTCTTCTTCTTCTTCTTCTTCTTCTTCTTCTTCTTCTTCTTCTTCTTCTTCTTCTTCTTCTTCTTCTTCTTCTGCTTCTCCTTCTTCTTCTCCTTCTTCTTCTTCTTCTTCTTCTTCTTCTTCTTCTTCTTCTTCTTCTTCTTCTTCTTCTTCTTCTTCTTCTTCTTCTTCTTCTTCTTCTTCTTCTTCTTCTTCTTCTTCTTCTTCTTCTTCTTCTTCTTCTTCCCCTGTGGACTCGATGTCTTTGTCTTTATCGCCTTTGTCTTCTTTGTCTCCTTCCCCAACGACTTTGCTTCACATCACGACTAGTGTCGAAGTCAGCATCAACGAGCTAATTCTGTGTAGTGTATGATCTTTGTTGTCGATTCCTTGCTGGCGCGTCGACGGTGGGGAACAGCGACGATGGACTTATCAGTGGTATCACTGGTTTGGCGTTTGCTTCAGCTTGTGACGCGCTGTCACTTGGCGCACACCGAATGGAATGCCCAAGGCTATGATAATGAACCCAGTACAAGAGAGTAGCTATAGGTGGAGTCTTGTTTAAGCATTTTCACGGGAAGCACTTGAAGTAGTAGTGTAGGGAAGCTTGTGAGAGAGCCAAAAGGACACTTTGCCAAAGTATCCCATTTCAAATTGATTAGTTGGAGTGGGAGGTGAAGAATGAGCTTGCTAGCTCAAACCCCCTTAATACACCCCTTGGGGAACTTTCCCAACCAAGGATTCCATGGTGGGATGGTTCCTAAGCTTGGAGCCTATGCGGCAATTAAGTTGGGTTGGAAAACCCAATTTCAAACCATTGAATGGTAGCTTTTAAGATAGAGTATATTGTTACATTGAATTGGCAGTTTCTGATTGGTTGGAAATCCAACCCTCAACAATCCACTTTGATGGGTTGGAGTTTCCCAACCCTATTGGTTGAGGTTTGGAATCCCAACCCAACCTTCTCTCCCAACCCAACCTTCAACTCCCCGTAGCCCAATTTCATCGAGACATATCTCGACGAATGCCGTAGGAGAGTAAAGTTGCTATAGGGAGATAGGCAATACGTTACACCGTAAGCAGGCCTCTGGATTTTAGGGTAGATCACCCTTACAACCCTTGCCATAAGTGTGGGGTGCTTATTGCACCCTTTTTTTGAATGATTTGTTCTAGGACCCTTAAAAAAAACAATAAGTAATATTGTCTACAACGCTGATTTTCCAAAGTGACATAGTATTTTAGCCTTATCAGGAAAAGTAGTATCGCGCAACACACTGACGAGTTTTGCGATTTCATTGCTGTCAATCACCGACGTGATTTTTGCCGCAATCAGTGGCGAGGGTGCTCATCGTTTTGACGGCTCATGTCACACCATGGAAATGAACTCCCACCGGGATCAGGACCACTTTGCCTGCCTGGCGTTTACGTGACACATCACGCATGTTGAGAAAGTGGTGGTGGCTAGATGCTACCTCCCCTCTCCCTCTCCAACACACACCACACCAGTGACACCACGCCACCACCCACCACCACCACAGGCAGGGGGTCCTCTCTCGCTCACCTCGAATAAACTCATTTTTTTGTACGCAGGCCGCAAAACGAATGCTTTTCTCTAGCCTAGCACGAAGCGGCTGCAGCATCCCTGTCCGTCCATGGAGCGAGACACTATGGAAGCCGAAGACGACGAGGCATGTCGTGCTGTGCCTTGGTCACCTCCTTGCATGGCGCTAAGCTTCCTGAGGCCAGCCACACGACCCGTCCTAGAGAATGCACAGCCGATTCAACCGAATCCGTCACCGCGCCGAATGAAGCAGCCCTTGGTGTCGGCACTTCCATGTCAGAACCCGCGCCACGCGTTCCCGCGATTCCTGAAACACAGGGCGCCGTTAACGATATGTCATCTGGGAAGGGGAAACTCGTCTCCGATCCTGCGCAGCATAAATGGTGCCAACCGAAGCTGAGCTTCACTAGGGGGGCAACTGCTACCATCATCGTCGACGACTCCATCGACAATGACGAAGATGTCGACGACTTGCACCCGGCAGAGGAGCTATGCGATATCCCTGAGATTGCATTCTCTTGTGCGCATCGGGGATTTAAAAGTTCGTGACAGGGATTGTTGCTGACGACGACATGCCTATCCTGAAATGTAGGTGTTGCATTGAGCATGTGATCGATGGCGCGAATACAGCGTACGACAAGGGCGGCAGAGGAGGGCGAGATATGCAGAAGGCAAGCATCAGGACTCACCAGCGCTCGACAGCACACGCGGATGAGACCGCCGCGATGAAGTCGAAAGAAAGCCTTCACCACGCTGTATGACGTGGTCGACGACGACCTGCTGTACGACGACGCCGAGGAGGATGACGAACTACCGGAGCTCGACCCCATGAAGAACCGGTGGGTGCTGACAACGAAGTAGCACACCGACGACACCGTTGAGCTCGAGAAGGCGCGGCTGGTCGTGAAGGGCTTCACGGTGTATGGCGCCGACTACACGAGACGTACGCGCCGGTGAGCAGCTACGTCACGCTGAGGATCTTCCTGAGCATCGTCGCCGTCCTCGACCTCAACCTGATGCAGCTCGACATGAAGAACGCCTTCCTCCAGAGCAAGCTCGATCGGGTGCTGTAGATGTATCAGCCGGACTACTTCAACGACGGGACCAGCCGGGTGTGCAAGCTGCTGAAGAGCCTTTACGGGCTGAAGCAGTCGCCTCTGCTGTGGTACAGAGCTCTGGATGGTGTGCTGCTGGGCGCCGGCTGGAGGAAGAGCCAGGTCGATACGGCGCTATACTTCAAGGTCTGCGCCGACAAAGTGGCCTGCTGGGTGCTGGTCTACGTCGACGACCTGCTCGCCGCCAGCAGCAGTACCGCGATGCTGAAGGAGCTGAACGAGCTGCTGGAGGCCGCCTTCGAGCTGCGCGAGATCTCGCCGGCGCAGAAGTACCTCGGGCTGGAGATCGTGCGCGACAGGCCGGCGAGGAAGTTGTGGCTGCACCAGCAGGGCTACGCCAACAAGCTGCGTAGGCGGTTCATCGACGAGGAGCAGACCGGGCGCACCCCGAAGACGCCGGTCTTGGTCGACGCCTGCGCCGAGCTCACCTTCAACGAAGAGGAGGCGCAGAAGCGCCAGGAGGAGGAGTACCGGCAGAAGGTCGGCTCGCTGCAGTTTGCGGCGACGACGACGAGGCCGGGCATCGCCTTCGCCTGCAGCAAGCTGGGGAGCGGCCTTACGGTGAGGAGCGACCAGCACTGCGCGAGGTCGACCGCTGCCTTGCCTACCTCGCCAACATGCATGACACCACCCTGGAGTTTGGCGGTGGATCAGAGTCAGTGAAGCTGGTCGGCGTCTGGACGGCGTCTTGGGCGAGTGGATGCTGACCTGGGCGTCTACATGGCGTCCCGGGCGCCTGGACGACGACCTAGGCGTCACGACGCCAACCTGCGTGTTGGGACACCGATTCTGGGGACGCCGGTCTGGTGTAGCCGGCGACCGATTGGGCTGGACGACCAGGCATGGTTGCCCGGTCGACCGAGTTACTCGGGCGACGTGTGCGAGGGTCGCCGGGGTGGCTTCTGCGAGGCCGACCTCGGGGGAGGTATCCCGAGGTCGACGTGGCTGGTGGGCGCAGCCGCTTGCGTGGATTCTGCCAGGCGTCTGCGCTGTGCACGTGACAAGGCGTGGTGCACCAACCGACCACGCGCACCTGCGAAGCAGGTGCACCGTTGTCCTGCAGGTGCAACGCTGTGCAGCCAACTTGCTGCAACGTTGGCACACCGTTGACTTGCAACGTTGGCAAGCCGCATCTCTGCTGTGCTGGAGCAGTGCGAGCTCTGCAGCGCTGGACCGCGGTCGACCATGCTGCGCTGGAGGTTAACCAGCAGCCTATCTAGCTCTGATGTAGTCTTGCATGCCAATGTTGTTGCTATCATTGTTCTCAACTTTTGCTAGTGAAACTCTTGCGGTTTTTCCCCGTGAATGCACAAGTGCTAGAGAACGACTAAGTGAACGAACGCAGAGATCACTCAAGCCCCATGCCTAGCCCACAGTCTAGCTCCCGTTGTATCAGTTATCTCCGCAGGTCGGTACTACCTCCTTGGTATCACCTCCGTGCTGCCATGCCTCTTCCACGTATGTGGGGCATGTCACCACCATGTGTGTGGGGCATGGCACCATGTATGTGGGGCATGTCACTGTGCATGCGGGGCATGTCATTATGCATGTGGGGCATGTCGCCATGTGTAGTGTGGTCATTCCATGAATGTATGTGAAGTATGTACTCATTCCATACATGCATGTGCTCATTCCAAATATGCATGTGCTTATTCCATACATGCATGGATATGCGTGTCAGTATCCGATCTCTCATCTGCATCCCTCTTAATCACATTCTCTTGCTCCTCCCCCTCCTTCCCTACTCTGGTTTCTCCTCACCGCTCTTCTCCTGCTTTCCTCCCTCTTAACCCTCGCGCTCATCCCCCACCCCCCCCACCATCACGGCATAAAGTGGGGCATGGACCAGGGTGTGCCATTTTCGAGAATTAGGGTGCTGCAACAGTCACTCACCGACTTCCCTTGTCCTTCCAATCTTCACGCCAATCTCTCCTCGCCACTCCTTCCCCCGCCATCTTCCCTCCCCCCTCTTTCACACCACCAACCCCATCATTGCATAGACTGGGGCATGGACAGGGTGCTGCAGCACTAGCTCACTGCACCGCACTTCACACAAACAGGATAGATGCCTTCCACGCCTGAGGAACATCGACACAGTTTGATACCCCACATCATGGCTCTTCCCCTCTCTCCCATCCTCCCTGTCTCGCATCCCCCATATTCCTTCAGGGCATAGAGTGGACCACAGACAGGGTGCTGCAGCAGTGTACAGTGCACAACCCCACATCCTGGCTCTTCTCCTCTCTACCATTCCTCCTTTCTCTCTTCCACCATACCCTATCAGGGCATAGAATGGAGCACGGACAGGGTGCTGCAGCAGTCACTCTCTGCTCTCCACACCAACGGGGTGGCTGACGTGGCGCCACTGGATTCGCTGCCGCGCCTGAGGGACATCGACACTCTTCACGACCTGACAGCCTGGCTCGCAGAGAAACGCGCGATGGCGGGCAGCGAAGGGGCTTATAAGGCATACATTACGGTGCTGAGTGGTTCTGGGGTTCATGAGAAGACGGGGAATGGGGAGAACGCATTGAGGGCAGCGCATGTGGATGCGCCCCCAACAACTAATTCTCCTCTTGGCTGTGTGCATGGAGCTAGTGTTTGCAGACAGGAAGGGGAAACAGACACCGAGGGGCTAATTCCTGTAGTTGCATGTATTCTTGGGCAAGTAAGCTCAGTGAGCGGATTGTAGTAGTGGTGTCTTTTGGACCTCATCCACGCTACCAGACAGTCAGCAAGATGCAGCTGCAAAAGCATACGTTGTGTTGCAGCAAGAAAAACAACTGTATTGTAATCCAAGAGAAGAACATAGGGTATTGGACAAGGATGTCGAGCCACTAGCCCAACGAAATCTGGTCGCGGTGGCCTTTCGTGTAACTTCTAGGCGCATTCGTGCTGTTTGAATGGCGCGGATCAGGGCTCAGGTTTGCAGTGTAATTTACCCTTCTACTATACTGATTACAAGGGTAAAATTTTGGGCTTACACTGATGTGCTGGGGTAATTTTTTTGTGAGTTAGTGTTACACTGATCTGTAAGTGTATCGACGTAGGCCACACTGATGCCTTGGGGTAAATTTTCCCTTAGCGAAGATTACACTGAAAAGCGTACCCCCCCCCCGCTTTTCCCCGAAATCTGTCAGATCGTGATTTCCGTTCATCACGCTAGTGCCAAGGATTCCTTCCGTGCAGTACGTGCGTTGGCCACAGTCACGTGTCAGATTGGTTAGGAATGCCAGCACGCCACGAAACCGAACATTGGCAGCAGCTACAGAATTGCTGCCTGCAGCAGCCACAAAACTTTGCGAACATCAGTCAGTGTTAAAAAAAAAACCACACTGCTGATGCAGGGTAAATTTTTCAAAACTTGATGTTACACTGCTCTATCAGTGTAACGGAAAAGTACACACTGCCCATAAGGGTTTTTGAAAAAGCTACACTGCCAATCGTGAGTAGGCCAAATCCAAACCTGAGCCCTGGCGCGGATGTTGCTGCCCTGCGCGGAAGAACCCCGGGACACATTCGTTGCGAAATTGTGGGGCACACTGTAAAACCCTGAACCCCGCAGTCAAATGTATACTGCTGTTTTAAAGGGCGAGACCTAAATTGCACAACGAAGTCAACGTGGGTTATTTTGGTTCGGGAAACCCCAAAAGTAGGTTCGGCAGAAAATCAGTGACCAATCGCGTCAAAGTGGTGACAGTTTTCCCCTCCCGACTCGGTAATTTGGGCCTTGGGTTTTAAAGGCGGGGTGCAACTTCTTAGGAAC